GAGAGACTAATGTAAATAACTTTGTGGCCACAAGTGTGAAATTTTAGACAGACTGGAATATTTCCTAGAAAAATGAAACTTGCCAAAACTGATACCAGAAAAAAGCCAGAAAAGCTGACTAGAGCTATAACTATTAAAGATGTGGATTCGGTATTTAAAAATCTATCCAACTACAAAAACTGGGTGCCAATCTTCTACAAACTTCCACAGAATGGAAAAAGAGGAAAGACCCTTCAATTCATTTTATGAGACTAAATGAAAACTCAAGCATAACTGAGTGATACATTTGAGGGGTGAGGGAGACGAACCCCAAAGTTCGTCTGAAGACAGGGAACAAAGAATGATCACAGGATGAAGGGGATGGCCCCCATGACAGCATTTTGGATATTTAAAATATGCACAAGAATTACAATCTAAACACTTGTTTTGTTAAAGGCCCTCTTTGATTACAGTTCGTGTCTGTAGTGTAGGTAGTAGGTACAGTTGATGTAAGTAGATGCAGTCAGGATCAATATCTTCCTCCTGCATTCTCTGTAGAGTATCCATGGAGTTTTTCCGTCAAGAGTAAATATTTTGTAACCTTAAATATATATGTATACATCAAAACCATATCCACATGCAAAAGAATGAAGTTGGACCCCTTCCATACACAAAAATAAACTCCAAGTGGATAATAGACTTAAATGTAAGAACTAAAACCTTAGAACTCTTAGAAGAAAATATAGGCGCAATCTTCATGACGTTGGGTTAAGCAAAGACTTCTTAGACACGACATTAGAAGTATAAGCAACAAAAGAAAAAATAGATAAGTAGGACTTCATCAAAATTAAAAACTTTCATGCTTCAAAGGATACCATCAAGAGAGTGAAAAGACAACTCACAGAATAGGAGAAAATATTTGCCAAGCATATATCTGATAAGGGTCCAGAACCCAAAATATGTAAAGAACTATTATAAATCAACAATAAAAAGACAACCCAATTCAAAAATGGGCAAAGGACTAGAATAGACATTTCCCCAGAGAAGACGTGCAAATAAGCAATAAGCAAATGAAAAGACGCTCCACATCATTAGCCACTGGGGAAATCCAAATTAAAACCACAATGAGACACCCCTTCACACAAACAGGAAAGGCTATAATCAAAAAGTCAGGTAATAACAAGGATGTGGAGAAATTCAAACCCTCATACATTGCTGGTGGGAATGTAAAATCGTGCAGCCACGTAGAAAAACAGTTCCTGAAAAGCTAAATGTAGAGTTACCATATGACCCCGCAATTCCACTCCCAGGTATATACCCAAGAGAAATGAAAACATATGTCCACACAAAAACTTGTACACAAACGTTCATAGCAGGATTATTCATAATAGCCAAATGTGGAAACAACCCAAATGTCCATCAGCTGATGAATAGATAAACAAAATTTGGTACGTTCATACAATTGAATATTATTCAGCCGTGAAAAGGAATGAAGTATTGATACATGCTACAACTTGGACAAACCTTGCAAATATTATATTACGTGAAATAAGCCAGATACAAAGGTCACATTTTGTATGACTCCATTAATATGAAATGTCCAAACTAGGAAAATCCATAGAGACAGAAAGTAGATTAGTGTTGAGAGGAAATGAGCAATAACTGCTAATGGGTACATGGTTTGTTTTTGGGAGTGATGAAAATGTTCTAAAATTAATTGTGGTGGTGGTTTCACAACTCTGTGAATATATTAAAAACCAATGAATTGTACACTTTAAATGAGTGAATTGTATGGTACGTGAATTATGTCTCAGTAAAGTCTCACCATATACAGGTGGCGTCTGGCAATTGAACAAATTGTGCTCTTGTTGAAACATGTCTCTGAGGGAAAACTGTTTAAAAGTACATTTCAAGCGCTGAGCTTTAACTGGAGAGGACAGCCTGTCATCAGTTATACAGGCCAAAACCGGTAGTTATAAACCTCCGTGTCATCACTGCTCCTTAATGCTCGCCCCCCCACACACACAGCATCTCTTGGACAGGAGCCACGTCACACTCCACACAAAACCAGCTAAATGCACGTTCCATAGTTAAGAATCTAAGGATTCTTAGAAATCCCAAAATCCTCCCTTTGGTTTTATAGATAAGGAAACTGACTTAGAAAAGGGTTAAGACTCTGCTGTTGAGAGTCACACAGCAAGTTTCCAGTGGAGCCAGGATTAGAACCTGCTGCCTCTACCTCACCTTTCTCTTCCCACAAATTTTTTGCAGGGTTTCCATGCCCCTCAGACTGGTCTTCTGAGCACAGTCAGAACTGAACTCCTCACAGCCTCAGCATCTGAGTCAGGCCAGGGCAGGAGCTAGAAGGGGGTCAGGAGGCCACAATTTCTGGGAGAGGGAGGGGGACACTGAGGGGAGAAGATGGGGCCAGGTTCCGAGAAGACAGCTTAAGCCCCTGTTCTCATAAGAGCAGGGGACACAAGGGGGGACATAAACTCAAAGGATGAGCCATCTCATAGTGTCACACGTGGTCTGGGGCCTGTGGCTATTTGTTCCTGTCACATACACAGCTAGAGGGTGAGCTATGAGAACGGTTCCCCACATACCCAGCTGTCTCCACCTCAGACCAGTGTGCCTTTGCCCCCCATAAATTGCCCTGTGAGTCACTCGACCCACGAAACCTCACCCCACCCTGACGTCAGGTATGACAAAGGATGAAGAAGACCCTGGGCCTCTGGCCCCACCTACATCTCTCTCCTCAGCAGGGTCCCGCAGCTGCCCACCCACTCGCACGGTGGCTGCCACCTCAGGCCAGGGCTGGGGAGGGGACTGGGGACCAGCGCGGCCACTGAGTCTCCTCCCAGAGCAGGAGACCCTGCCTGGGGTACGTGTTTGGGGCTCACAGCCTGGGCTGGGCAGGGACCAAGGTGTGGGCAGGAAGTCAGCAAGGAGGTTTGAACAAGGTTTATTTCTCCCCACTGCTAGGGGAGGAGGGAATGGTCACGTGTATTAACCCTTGCTGAGGGCCAGGCTCTGGTCTAAGTACTTCACACGTTGTAACTACCCTTCTCTTCACAACCTATGGGGTTTACACTATTGCCATCCCCATTTTTATTTGAGGAAACTGAGGCACAGAGAGACTAAAGAAGCTTGCCAGGCCACACAGCTCGTGCACGTCCGAGCTGGCCCAAGCCCAGGCAACCTGGCTCCCGAGCCCACGCTCTGAGCCGCTTCTCCATGCTGCCTCTTACCCTCACACATGCAGTGCTGCGGGTCGGAAGCAGGGAGATTGCCCCTGCTGGCCCGTTCACCAACACCGAGGTTGAATCTCAAAGTCCGCAGGCCCCTGTGCTCGCTCCCCCCAAGCCTCGCCTGTTTGCCCCCGGTCGCCACGCCCCGGGCAGCTCTGCTTGGAGGATGCGCCGCTGGCCCTCACAGCTGGCTTCCTGAGGGCTGACAGCAGGGCCGGATGAAGAGGTGAGGACAGGGTGGGTGCCGGTGGGAGGGGGAGAGCGAAGGGGACCCGTGACCACAGTTGAGGGGCGGGGCAGGAAGCAGACATGATGCAAACGTGGCCTGGGTGATGAGCCGTGCGGTGAGCCTGTCTCGGGGGCTGACACCATTTCAAGAGCCTCTCATGGGGAGAGAGGGTGTCTGTGCAGGAGCGTCTCACCACCGGACTCCAGGTATGGAGGAAGCAGGGGGTCGGGGAGGGTGGGAGTCCCCAGGTGGGGTTGGAGGGGCACGGGAGTGGAGCTGCTCCTTTGGGTGAAGAGCCTGATGGAGCAGGAAGTGCTGTGATCTGTAAGACAAGAGACTTGGGCTCCAGACCGTGCTCCGTCACTAACTTGCTGGGCAGCCTTGTGTCCCCTCTGGGCCTCAGTTTCCTCATTTATAAAAGGAAGAGGTTGGCGTCTTGATAGAGTCTCTAAGTCTTCGCATAGTCCCTAAGGCCTCTTCAAATGCTGACAGCTGAAGCTGCTAAGAAAGCTGGAGACAGGCTCCCTGAGAGAGAACATGAGAGGGCCAGGATGGGGACTGAATTCTTTAGACTAAGGTTATGAACTGTGCTGGCCTCCTACGTGGGATGATCCGAGGGCCTCTGAAAGACTCCCCTTCCCTCTCTACCTCCCTGGGGCTGCCATGTTGCCTAGAAATCCACCATTCAAGTTCCCCTTTGGGTAAGGCAGGAGGGCTCCCGTTGGAGAGCAGGGGAGTTCCTGCTCTGCGTAATCCCCTGTGTCTCAGAGAATCTGCTGTCCCCAGCAGGTGCCGAGGGGAAGGGCCTCCAAGGAGCTCAGTTCGGACAGAGGTAGAGAGAGAAGATTCCAGATCATAAATAGACCCAGGTAAGGCTCCAGAGCCACCTCAAAATGAAGAAGAACCTTCTGGCTATTGAATGGTTGTCCTACAGCAGGCACTAGGCAGCTAGCTCTTAGTCACTGCCAGAATCCCGCAGAGCATGGCAGGGGATGCCAAGAGGAGACTTGAGCGTTGGGAGATCTGGACAGCAAACGTAAGGGGCCTCCCCACACAGAATCTAAGGGAGCATGGCAGCTTTTATTCTAGAATTCAGGCTGATGTTCTTCCACGAGGCTCAGAGAGAGGGCCCCAAAGGGAAAACAGGGAGAATAAGGGCAATGCACAACCTCATTTCTTTTCCAATTCTGTTAAGGGCTTAGTGGGACAGAGAGAGAGAATGAGAGAGGTGGGGTGGGGAAAGCATGGCTTGTTCTAGGGCCCAAAGTGACACTTCTCCAGAATCCAGACTTCTCTGGGGTCCCCAGGTTCCTCCTCAAATCTGCTACGGCTACTCTCTGTCCCCTCCCCTGTGCACAGAGCCTCCTCCCCACCAGCAGTGGCTGTGGTCCTGGCCTCAAAGCCATCAATCTGGATCCCCATGAGGCCTTAAATAGTGAAATCCTAGCAAGAGGCTCCTCCTGGCTGTGTGACCTTGGGCAAGTCACTTCCCCTCTCTGGGCCCATCTGTACAATGTGGTGGGTGGACAGGTTTGTAATGGCCATTCCAGCTCTGACATTCAGTGACTCAAGAGATGTCGCATTCCTCCCCTTTCCATTTGCCCTGATAATCCACAGTTCGGGAGAGGGGTCAGTGGTCCTCCATGCCTCTGCCCATAGCCTCCCAAAGCCCAAATGCCCTCTGTCTCCACAGCTTCATGGCCACCCGCGTGCTCCTCCCGGGCATCCTCCTCCTGCTGCTGCCCACGCCTGCCCCTGCCCCCTGCCACACAGCTGCACGATCCGAGTGCCGGAGAGCCCGCCTGTTCGTGCCCGGCGCGTGGCTGGCAGGGGAGGGCGTGGACGTGACCAGCCTCCGGCGCTCAGGCTCCTTCCCAGTGGATACACAGCACTTCCTGCGGCCAGACGGCACCTGCACCCTCTGCCGCAATGCCCTGCAGCGGGGCGCCCTCCAGCGCCTGCCCTTGGCACTCACCGACTGGCGCACCCAGGGCTCAGGCTGCCAGCGCCACGTGGTCAGGGCCAAGAGCAGCTCCACTGAGGCCATAGCCCGGGAGGCGGCTGGCAGCATCCGCAATGACTGGCGGGTGGGGCTAGAGGTGACCCCCAAACCCAGCATCAATGCACGAGTGGCCGTGGCCGGCTCGCACTCCAAGGCGGCTGACTTTGCGGCCCAGAAAACCCACCAGGACCAGTACAGCTTCAGCAGCGACTCCGTGCAGTGTCGCTTCTACAGGTGAGCACCAGGGGTAGGGGTGCTGGGGGCTTGAAAAAGGTGTGGGAAATGCTGGGTAGTCTGGGAGCCCTGGAAGGCAGGGTGGGGCCTGGGAGGCTGCTTCCACCAGGAGGACACAGCAGTCTTGGTTCTCACATGCCAGGTGATTCAGTGCCCTGTGACCCTGATCTGGAAGAGCCCAGGGCGAGGACAGGTGGAGAGGAAAAGCAAGGCTGCGCTTCAGAGCCCCAACATGGTGCATTCGGGTCTACTGAGGGCCCGACCCTCTTTCCTGGGCATTGCCAGCCTTCTGTGGGGCCCTTGCCGGATGGGGCAGAGAGGCAGGAGACCTGGCTGGGTCCCTCCCATCCCTGGGCCTCATTCGTCCATTTAGCCGCTATTCATGTCTGCCTCTCAGGCTCTGTGCTGGGAATCAGGGCTGCAGTGCTGGGCAAGAGCAGTCACACCCTGGGCCCTCGGGGACATGGGTCCCACACCTGAGAAATGCATGGTCTCCATGGGCGACCCCGAGCCACCTGCCCTGATTTCTCACACTGGGAGACCACATTTCCCCCACGGAGAGTAGAGCACCTCCTGCCTGCATGGCCAGAGCTGTCAGGAGCCCAGGCACAGGGTGCCAGTCCAGGGGACAGACAGAGGAAGGCTTCAGGATTAGCTTCCAGAGCTAGGGGGATACCACAAGCGCAGCACCATCGCTCTTATCGTTAGAAAACAAAAAGGAAAAAAAACACTTATTTTGAAAAGGAAAAGCAAAAATACCTATACAAAGTACCTAGGTCACCGAGGGGCAGTAGGCTGAGTGAGTTTCCCTGCGGCTCAGTGTTCAGAGCTCGTGATTTGGAGCCAGGCCACCTGGGCTCAAGTCCTAGTCCTGCCCCTTACACGTGACCTGGGGCGATCTTGAGGGAGTTGCTGAATGGGGGAAATCCGGTCCACCTGATGGTTGTCTCGCCCCTCACAGTTTACGCCTGGTGCACTCTCCCCCACTCCACCCCGACTTCAAGAGGGCCCTCAGGGCCCTGCCCCCCCACTTCAACGCCTCCACCGAGCCCGACTACCTCAGGCTCATCTCCAACTACGGCACCCACTTCATCCACTCCATGGAGCTGGGCGGCCGCATCTCGGCCCTCACCGCCCTGCGCACCTGCGAGCTGGCGCTGGACGGGCTCACGGCCGACGAGGTGGGGGACTGCCTGAGCGTCGAGGCCGAGGTCAGCATAGGCGGTCGCGCCAGCGCCTCCTCGGAATACAAGGCCTGTGAGGACAAGAAGCAGCAGCACAAGATGGCGACTTCCTTCCACCAGGCCTACCGGGAACGCATGTCCGAAGTCGTTGGCGGCGACCACACCTCCGTGCACGACCTGCTGTTTGGGAACCAGGCCACGCCCGAGCAGTTCTCAGCCTGGGTTGCCTCGCTGCAGGCCAGCCCCGGCCTGGTGGACTACGCCCTGGAGCCCCTGCACGTGCTCCTGGAGAGCCAGGAGCCGCGGCGCGAGGCACTCAGGCAGGCCGTGAGCAAGTATGTCACCGACAGGGCACGCTGGAGGGACTGCAGCCGGCCCTGCCCCCCAGGGCAGCAGAAGAGCCCCCACGATCCCTGCCAGTGTGTGTGCCACGGCTCGGCGGTCACCAACAGGGACTGCTGTCCCCGGCAGAGGGGCCTGGCCAGGCTGGAGGTTGTGAACTTCGCGGCGACAGGCCTGTGGGGAGACTGGGTCACTGCCACAGACGCCTATGTGAAGGTCTTCTTTGGAGGCCAGGAACTGAGGACAGCCACGGTGTGGAACAATAACCACCCCAGGTGGATGACACGGCTGGACTTCGGGGACGTGCTCCTGGCCACAGGGGGGCCCCTGAGGGTGCAGGTCTGGGATGCAGACTCTGGCTGGGATGATGACCTGCTCGGCAGCTGTGACCAGACTCTGCACTCTGGTTCACATGAGGTGACATGCAACCTGAACCATGGTCGCCTGAGATTCTCCTACCACGCTAAGTGCTTGCCTCACCTGGCGGGGAGAACCTGCCTGGAGTACGCCCCCCAGGGGCTTCTGGGGGAGCCTCCAGGAAACCGGAGTGGGGCAGTGTGGTGAGAAAAGTGGGCCTCCAGAGAACCGGTATGCCCAGACTGGAGGCTTCTCAGAGGGAGCCAGAGCCTATCTTCATAGCCCCACTAGACAGTTGGAAAACAGGCTTTATTTAAAATTTCAGTGAGGTGGCCGAATTTACAGGCCAGCCCTGAGTCTCCCTGCAAACTGCCTTAGCTCCCCGATATTCTTCAGCCTTGGAAATGAGCTGGGGCTAGGCCACTGCTGTGTACCCGCTGCTCCACAGGCCACAGCTTCGGTCAGGAGCTGGGCAGAAGGCCAGGAGGCTGCTCCCTTCAGGCTGCTTGGTGTCATGTAAGGCCTTCCCTTGTGGCCCTTTCTAGCGTGGTGAAGTCTCCATCATAGTAGCTCTAACCCCTTCTCCCCCGGCTTCTCTGCTTGCTCTCTTCTTTGCCCTCCAAGCTTTGCCTCTCAGATAGATCAAGAGCTGTCTTGACCAGTCTCATTGTGTACATAGCCTGACAAATGACCAATAAATGTGATGTGACAGTGACCATGATGGTGGTGGTTGTGGCAGAGGAGAGGACAGGGACCAAACATAGCCCTGGAGATAAACTTCTACACCAGCAACCCCACACAACAGGACAGGTGGTTCACCCCAGGGGTAGGCAGGTAATGTGAATAAACTGTTTTTCCACTCTTGTTGGAAATGTGGGGACCCAAAAGATTTTACTTTCCTTATAACTATCTAATTTGAGAAACAGCAGCATAAACTCAGTGATAAATGGCAATGGACATTTCGCTTCCCGCTGGGAGACAATAGGGAATGGTGAGGACTATGGCAAACTGAAGGGCACATGTCTTATCTAGAGCAGGTCTGCAACTCAGCATTAACCAAAGATTCCCATGCAGGGATGTGAGCCCAGGGCTGCCAGGTCTTCTAGTTTCTTAAAGTAACCAGAAATCCCAATTTGACTTCTAATTGTTGGCAAATCATTTCAATTTGTAAAAATAAACCTATGTGGGCAAACATGGTGCAAAGCAAAGAAAACACGTATGCAGGCTGTAATTGATCCACAGCAATCATTTGGAAAACTCTAATTTCAACAGAACCCATCTGACAGGCTGAACAGCTCTCCCCTGCCCCACAATTTGAGGGAAGAGGACGTGGTTCTAACAAGGTGGTATTTGAGGGCCTGGCTTTGGCACGCAGACCCCAGAGCCTCAGGGTCTGATATAAAATTAAGTGGTCTTTGTTTCACGTGCCTGGGACACGGGCCTCAGGACACAGGTCCACAGGGTGGGTGGCAAGATCCAGGCGGCCTCCTGGACATGGTAGGATTTGGCTGGGCAGGGCCGTTCTCAGAGGGGCTCAGAGTTGCTAGCATGGCCCTCCTGATTCTCTTTGAAACTCCCTACAAATTAAGCCCCTTGAGGTTTACATGGACCCATAGGCTCAAAATCCCAGCAGCTCTGACCCTGAAACCCCAAGCAGGGCGGGGGTATTGGCAAGCTCTAAAAGCCTGGTTGAAATGACCGTTCTTACACATTTCTGTTCATAGTCACACACACACAAACAAGAGCACAAGACAAATCTTGACACTTCATGCTGGCTGCTGCCCTAATTGAAGATAAACACGAGTGTGGGCCATACCCCTCTGGGAAAGTAGGGGCAGGGCAGGCCTGGCCCAGGGGTCAGCTCTGACAAGAGACGAGCGTCTTGTTCAAGTACCCACATGGTCGGTAACCTCCAGCAAGTCCCTCTGCTCCCTGGGCCTTGGTTTCCCCAAAAGGACAATCTTTGTTTTACTCCCTTTTTGGGACTACTTGGAAGGGGGCCATGAGCCTTTCTAGAAGGTCAATGCTACAGAAGGGGTCCAGAAAGGTCATCTGGTTACCCCTCTGGTCTTACATATAGAGCAAGTGAGGCCCAGAAGGAGAAGGGATTTAACTATGGTGACAGGAGTTAGCGGTAGAGCCCGGTCTCTCCGAGTTCTGGGCGCTCCACTCCGAGCACAGCTTTGGAGAGGCCAACAGTTCTCAAAGGAGGACCCTTGGGGGAGAAAGGTGTGATAAGACCAAGGAGAAGGAATGTGCCACTCTCGTTGAGGGGCAGCTATGGAGCCCTCAGCCCCAACTCAAGACCTAACGTGACATATTTGTTTCTACCCACATGGACATTAGGACATGATGTCACACCAGAGGCCCCTCGTTTGTACAGGAAATTCCCCACTGTGCCAGATATCCTTCATTTGCCCTCCAGCCAGTCTTCACCCTGCTCCACCGTGCTCTGGTGCAGTAGGCTGGCCTGCCTAAGCCCGTCTGTCCGTGGGCCGGAGATTGGGGGCAGGGGCAGAGGGGAGAGCAGAGATTGGGGCATTTACTCTCCTCAGTGTCTCTCAGTGAGGTGGCCTTGCCCTGGTTGTGTCCTTCTTCCTCTCAGGAGGCCTCTGCATGCCTCTCTGTCTGGGTTCCTCAACTGCCCCCTCCCCTAGAACCCAGGGGTGGTAACAGCTCCACGGCTGCCAATCCTGTTACTGCACTATCCCTTGTGCTTCCCCACACCCCCTACACCTTTGTAAATAGGCCCTTTATAAACAAACTCTCCTCAAATTATTACAATTTGAATATGCCATTGGCTTCTGCAATGGTCTGAATGTTTGTGTCCCCCCAAAATCATATGTTGAAATCATAATACCCAAGGTGATGGTATTAGGAGGTGAGGCTTTTGGGGGTGATTAGGTTGTGTGGGCAGACCTCATGAACGGGATTACTGCCCTTATAAAAGAGGCCCCAGAGAGATCCCTACCACCATGTGAGGACACAGGGAGAAGGCACCAGAAAGTGGGCCCACTGAATCTGCCGGCACCCTGACCTTGGACTTCCAGCCTCCAGAACTGTGAGAAATAAATATCTGTTGTTTATAAGCCACCCAGTCTGCGGTATTTTATTAGAGCAACCAGAACAGACTGAGACAGCTTCCTATCGGGACCCTGATGACACACCACCTGAGTCCTGGTGGAAAGCAGAGCCGCCTCCCCCCAGAAGCTGAAAATGCCCAATTCTTGCTTCCCCATCCACCCCTGGAACTAGGAAAAGACGTGTGACTAGTCTGCCAGTCGGGTGCACCTGCCCAGATATGGGGTCCCTTCAGAAGCAGACGCTAAGACAGGATCTGAATGCAGGTAATTTCTGTGGGAGGGGATCCAGGAAGCGCCAGGAGCAGAGAGGGTAAGGGAGCCAGGGCAGGAGGGGGCCTGTACAAGGTGCATTATCCAGTAAGTCTCCACTGTGGGCGACCTGAGCCAGTGAAGAACACGGACCTCAGAGTTATCCCAGGTGAGGGTGGAGGGAGCTAGGCATCAATACACCACCCCCCGTCGGTCATTGGTTTCTCTTTCTACTTATTTCATCCAGACTTGGCTTCTATTGTTGACGACTAAAAACGTTGGTTGATGACACCATCCCATCTTCTCCCTCGCTGCTTCAACTCTCCCATTCCCTTTCCCAACCATCTTCCCACCCCACCCTGGTGGGCCCACGTCCTTAGAACCACCACTCGATTGGCCCCAGCACCTCCCTCCCATGAGCATGGAGCACAGAAAAGCAGGGACCATTCACGGGTTCCATCATTCGACACATGGTTACAGAGCACCTCCCGTGAGCCAGGCCCCGGGGCCGGTGAACAAGCCACGCAGATCATCTGTCCTCTTGAGGCTCGTATCTGATGGGGGGAACAGATGTAGACGTGGAGGAAGACATGGGGAGCAGGGTGATATTCAGGGTATCGGGCTTGGCCGGACTGCTTTTCTCTCATTTTCATACATACAACACACACAAACACACACACACACTTGGTCCGAGTGGTCTCTTCCAAGACTTGGGGCTGGCGCTGATGACAGGCCAGTTTTTGCTTTTTAAGCAGTTGCCACAGCGCCTTCATTGCCCTTCAAACACACTTCGCGGTCTCTGGGGCGTGGCCCCCAGCTGCCCTGAGGGCCGTGTCAGTGTCTCTGACATGTGTGAGCAGAGGAGGACCTGTTGGAGGAGAAGCAGTATGGGGGTGGAGGAGGTGAAGGGGGCCCCTTACAGCTTTGAGAGGCTGTGAATCCTCTCTGCAGTGTTCTTCATTTCCGCACCTCTGTCACCAAGGCCAGCCATCTCTGCGTCTTAACATTGTCCCCTTCTGCCCATAACCACAGCCTCTCCAGCCCAGGCCACCAACATCTCTTGCTTGGGCTAGTCTTCCTGTAGCCTCCTCACTGATCTCCAGCCTCCTGTTGCGCATCCCTGTCCCTCTACCCCACAGCCAGAATGGTGTTGACACTCTGCCCATATCCCCTTGACCCCACTCCAAGCCGGCCCCTGCATCTCTGCCTGAGGGCCCACACTGCAGCCACTCTGTCTGCCCCACTGGAAGACCTAAGTGCTCAGGAAGTGTCCACGCACCACCCAGCCCGGACTAGCCTTCAGTGGCCAATAGGAGGTAGTATATAAATACCCCATCTCCCTCCCCCTTGGGGGAAGTAGCTCTGAGGGATAATTCTGTGCTGGCTCCCAGAGTTCTCCAGCAGGGTTGAGCTCTGGTACCCACAGTGGTGACTTGCTGGACCACACACGCTCTCTTGGCTGTCTCCTTTCCCTGTCTCAATTCCCCACTCCCCTACTGGTACTTTCTGGAATCACCTCCCACATAAACTAACTGCCCACGAGCCGCTGTCTCAAGGTCTGTCTCCGGGGAAACCAGCTAAGAAGCACATCTGACCACATTGTTGCCTTGCTTAAAACCCTTCATTGGTTCCTTGTGGCTCTTGGGATAAAGCTCAAATCCTCTAATGTGACCCACGTGCTGACCTCACTCTCAGCTCTGTTCCCCTCTCACTAAGTCCCGTCTCAATGAGCTTATTGGTTCCTCTGCTGGCCAGGCTCTCTCTAGCCCTTCACACACGCTGCCTCCTCTTTCTGGAACTTTTCTCCTCCACCCCAAGTCCTCCTCAGCCTCCAGGCTTCAGCTTCGAAGGTAGCTTCCTCCAGGACACCTTCCCTGACTACCAGGCCTAGGTCATGGTCCCTGTACCCTGCTCCTATGGTCCCC